AAAGTCCACAATAGACTGCATCTTAGTTATAATGGAACACCGTCGTGAGTTTGGCCGTGGGCTGCTTGCAGCCTACGTCAACATACAAGGCCTTTGACTCGATGCAGTGCGAATCACTATGGAAGATTCTGAGACCTAGAAAGTCGTGGCTTCACATGTAAATCAAACCTGTCAACAGAAACATAGTGATGAGGGCCTGGAAGCGAAGGGTGGATGCGGCTATATGCCCCTAGTAATTGATTAATTGATTGATATATGTGTGTGTAACTATAGATGTTGATAAATGTATTTGTGCATTTATATGTGTGTGTATATGTATAACTGTATATCACTGTTGATAATGAATTTATCACCTGTGCATATGTACATGCTCTAATTTGGGTTGTATTTGCAGGCAGGAAAGCCAGGGTGTACTGGGATCCCCACGTCAAAACTTTCGACAACAAACACTACAATTACCACAAACCTTGTAACTTTTCATTGGTCCAACCTGGTTTGATACAGACTCCTAAATATGGAGTTTATGCTCAGTTTGCGTAAGAGCATTTTCGTGTATCCAGTCAAAATTTCCGACTCATAATTATATGTGTGTGTATGTATGTATATATATGTGTGTATGTATGTATAAATATACATATATGTATGCATATATGTGTGTATATATATACATATATACATACATATAGAGACAGATATGTATGTATATATATGTGTGTGTGTCTGTGTGTGTGTGTATGCATCTATGCATCTCTCTCTTTATATATATGTATGCATGTGTATATATATATATATTCTTATATATATATTATAAATGTTTGTGTGTGAGTGTGTGTGTGTGTGTGTGTGTGTGTGCATGTGTATGAGTGTGTGCGTGTACGTGTGCATGTGCGCGTGCGTGCGTATGTGTTTTCAAATGTATATATGTGTGTGTGTGTGTGTCTGTGTTTATATGTATATATATAAATAAGTATATGAAATCTGAGACATAATCTTTTTTTTTCAGTGAGTGCATAGGACTTGGTACCTGTATTGAAAAAATAGTATTCAAGGACAATAATAATACTGTAATCACCATCTCTGTGAGAAATAAGGAAGAGCTTACCGTAAGTGCTTAAACATACATACCTACACACATACACATATATACATATATATATATATATATATATATATATATATATATATGTATATATATGTACATATATACATATATATATATACAGACACATATATACATACGTACATAGACGCATATGTATATATATACAAATCTGTATATGAATAATTATACAGACACATACATATGTATGTATATATATATATGTATGTATGTATATTTATATATTTGTATACATGAGTTTATATATTCATATATGTGTATGTTTGTGTGTGTGCATGTGTAGATATCTATATACGTATGTGTATATGTATATATATACATATATATATATATATATGTATGTATATTTATACATATATATGTATGTGTATATATATACATATATATATATATATATATATATATATATATACATATACGTATATATATATATATATATATATATATATTTATATATATATATACATATATATATATATATATATATTTATATATATATACATATAAATGCATATATATACACATACATATATATGTATATGAATATGCATATATATGTATACATATACATATATACATAAATATATATATACATATATACATATGTACATAGATACATACATATATTTGTATAGAAATATCTACACACACACACATACACACATGCACACACACACAAGCATTTATAATATATATATATATATATATATATATATATATATATGAATAGATAGATACATATGCATATATATAGATATGTATATATGTATAAATAAGTATATATATTTATATATGTGTGTGTGTGTGTATGTGTAGATATTTCTATACAAATATATATATGCATCTATGCACGTATGTATATATATATATATATATATATATATATATATATATATATATATATGTATATGTATACATATATATGTATATTTATATACATATACATGTATGTATATATATATGCATATATATGTGTATGCATATATATATATATATATATATATATATATATATATATATATATATATATATATATATATATATTTATTACTTTATATATTTACATAAACATATTCACATATATAAGCATATATGCATATATATGTATATATGTATATATATATTATGTGTTTGTGGGTGTGTGCGTGTGTGTGTTTGTGTATGTATATATGTGTGTGTGTGTATGTATATATGTGTGTGTGTATGTATATATGTATGCAGGTATGTACATACGTGTACGTGCGTGCGCGTGTGTGTGTATGTGTGTACATGTGTGTGTGTGTTTGTGTGTGCATGCATGTATATATTTGTGTGTGCGTGTATGTGTGTACAGCATATATACAAATATGCACTTTCCTCTCATTTTTCCTATTTTTTCCGTCAGGTATTTCTGAACGGCAAGGAGTTCCCCGTCAGCAGCGACACCCCCTCCTTCATGGTCCAGGACGGCGTGCAGCATCCCGTGCTCGCCTGGAGCCAGACGGGATCCAACTCCAGACTTCTCTTCGCTGGCTCCAGTAACCTGGTGGTGCGTAGCTTGGCCCGGGTCCCCCTCGAAGGCCTCGCCGCTCGCTGATAGATGTGTGTGGAGTGATAGATGGACGGTGTGGACAGGCACTCCTGTCCCGTGTGTGTGTTAAGTGCTTGTTTGGTGCATGAAGCTGTGATGATAAGGATGGTAGTGGTGATACTGTTGGTGATTTCACCAAGAAAGCTGCTAATATTACTATATTGATGAGAATAATCTTGATGTGATCATGGCGGTGATGATAATGTTTATAATATTAATGACATTAATAATGATAATAACAATATTAGTGATAATGGTAATAACGATAATGATAATAAGATGATATAATAGCCATAGTAATAATGATGATAATAATAATGATAATGCTAATACTGAAAGTAGTAGCAGTAATAACAATATCAATAATAATGATAATAACAAAAACAGTAATGGCAGTATCAATAACAATAGATACGAGAATGCTCATACGAAGTTTCCCCTTGCAAATCCCCAAATGCCATCTACCCCACACAACCCACCTGGGCGTCTTCTCTCCAGTTGGAAGTCTCGAAAAACCACGTGTTCTTGTGGCTGCATCCGTCCCTCACAGATCACTACGGCCTCTGTGGAACCAGCAACGGCGTGCAGGACGACGAGTTCACAACCCGCTCGGGAAATGTGGTCAACTCCCTGACATCTTTCGCTGACTCGTGGATGGTAAGAAAGGGAGACAGAGAAATGGGGAATGAGACAGAGAGAAAGGAAAAGAGAGGGAGGGAGATTGAGGTGGGGATGTGAGAGGGGGAGGAGAGATGAAAGGAGAGGTAGAGAGATATGGGTAGGCGGGGAATAAGAAGGAAGAGAGGTAGGGGGATGGGAAGGAGGAGAAAGGAAAAAGAGAGAGAAGTAGAAATAAAGGTGGGGGATAAAAAAAAAAAAAAGAGGGGAGAGGGGGGAATAGAAGAGGGGAGAAGACCAGGGGAGAGGGACTGAAGAAGGAAAGCAAGAGGTAGAAGAAGGAATGGAATGAATATATAAGAGAGAGTGGGAAGGAGAGAGGCAGGGGTTTGAGAAGGAGAAGGGAGAGAAACAGGGGATGACAGGGGGAGGGGGGAGAGAGGTCGGGCGTAATAGATAGGAAGAAGGAGGGATGAGATGACAGAGGGAAAGAAGAGAGATCTGAGAGTGGGAGAGCAACAAGACACACAAACGACACTTCCTTTCCATCACCAATGCAGGCCAAGAAATCCCAACGAGGCAACGTAACACAAGCAAAAATTAAATAGATAAAACAAACACTAGTAACAAAGGAATAAACAAAAAAAAAACATTAATATCAAAAGGAAAACAATATAAGAATAAATACAACGGTCACAAAGTAATAATGTATGAATATATAAATATATATATATATATATATTTGTGCTTCTGGTCTGTTACTATTGATTGTTCGTATATATATGTATACATATATATATATACGAACAATCAATAGTAACACACCAGAAGCACAAACATATATATACATACACATATTTATATGCGAACAATCAGTAGTAACATTAAATGATAAAAGAATACAAGAATAAACGCCAGGACTGCAAATAACACGAAGGAACAAAACGAAACGAACAAACACTAGTAACACAAAGGAATAACCGATATGTTTAAGAATAATTACCAGTAGAAAAGAAAAAGAAAGAAGAAAAGGAACCACAGAAAGTCCAAAATACCAAAAAAGGCAAGATATTTAACATTTCTTTCCTTCACAGACCGATACACAGACTTCGCTCGAATGCCTGACAAGCCAACGTTTCAAGAGAAATATCATTCTTAATGAAGTAAGTTTAACTGAATGAAAAGTTAATAAACAAGAGACTACCAGTTTGCTCTCATACGGATATATGAGCGAATGTGGAAAGCGTGTTTTGCTCGTATTTACGGAAATCTATTTGTATATATATGTATATACATAAACATACATGTGTTTTATATATATATATAAAGTGTGTGTTATCTTTGTGTAAATATATAAAGTCATACATCTGCACGTATGAATATACAGTTTTACCGATAACTACCGAAGCACACCCCCCCCCCCACCCCCAGACTGGCCTGTGCACCTTGGGGAACGACACGCTCCTCGACCTCGAAGACATTTGCGGCCAAAAAGTCCCCGTCGTTCAGCACTCGGGCCAGGTTGTGGAGGCAGCCGAGGTCAATGCTCTCATGGGTAAGGTCGATGAGCTTTAATGACCAGGTGTGCTCAAGAACAGGTAATGTCGTGTTTCCATGGATGGTCAGTGAGCAGGTCAGTTAAGAGGATGAATAAAGTTGTCGTTCACTGAATAATTCATGAATGGGTTATCTGGAGAGAGGATAGATGAAGTTGCTCATTAGAGGTAGAGTTATTCACTAAACGGCTTGATGCATATGAATAAAGAAAGAATAGGTTAAGCCCTTTTACACTAAATGCTTAACAAACATATATAAAAAGGGAGATGCTTATGGATGGTCTTTGCTTAATGAACGCCTATGGATATCTATTTCTTACTGTTGTCTTTATATAAACAAGGACGTGTATATATAGTCTGTCCAATGAATCATAAAACATATCCGTAAACGTTTTCTATCCTATTTAATCATCTATTTTTTTCCTAGGAATGACCATTTCAGACTTTTATTAGACTAGTTATGAAATAAGTTATTTCTCATCTTATGGACAAAGTATTTTCCTTATTTTCATGTTAATTTTATTCCTTGAATTCAGTTACAAATCGAGAACTACTAAAATACGTCTAATCTTTTATCGGAATTTAGTAAATAAAAATTCATGAAAACAATGGCATTTAATATCATTAAATAATAGCCTCTAAAGCGATACCAAAGTTGCCAACTTATGAACCGCTAGTTCCGACTCATGTATTCGAAGCAAATGCTGATATCCGTAGGATACTTGTGCTTCGAATACAGGGTTCGAAACTGGTAGTTCACAGTGGCAACAATACCTGTAATCAAACCTGGCATTTACACAGCACCCAATAAGACTATCACTTGCGGAAAAGGTTGAGTCCCTCCTTGTCCAGCGGTAGTGACGGTTTTCTTCGACTGATACTTTGAGGGGTAGACTGAAATTGTTCCCTTTTCTGTTGATGAGAATATTCATTTAGATCCTGCAAATGCATTGATACTTTTTTACAGAGGCTTGCACGTTTGACCTTTGCCTGCTGTACAGTAACACTGGCGGTAACATGACGGCCATTCAAGAGTACATGGACACAGTCATCGCTGATGTTGTTGTAAGGATTATCGAGATCGAAGCCGACTTGATAGGTACGCAGAAAAAGTATCGACTTTTTTTTTCAAATGTGCTCTAGATTGAATGTACATGTTATGAGTGTGCAGTGATTTCATATAGGATAAAATTTATGAACAAAAATATAAAGAAATAACTAAAATATGTGTACTATATGTTGCTGACATTTTGTAAGTTTACTTAATAATTGCAAGGATTTCAGTTTCAAAAAGATTCACATTTTCAGGACTTATCATAGAATGATGTTTATGTAAAACAAAGTAGGCAATCCGTTGCTTTGACTGTAGCAACCACAAAATCTATGAACGAAATCATTTTTGTATATAGTTAACAATTATTCCCCCACAGATGTTGAAAGCCTCACGACTATTGCGCCTCCGAACACGACGATAGGTGAGCTGGAGACATTTTAAAGTTAACTTGGTATCCTCAGAGAGAGAGAGAGAAAGCATATAATAGAGAAAAAAGGTAGAACAAACCAACAAAAAAAGCTAAAAAAATCAACCCCTCCATTCTTTCCAGCCCGAGGCCGTCCAAAGAGGAGGCGCACATACCTCAAGATTGAACAAAAGGTCTATCTTTAAGAACCAAGAGCATCCTGAAGATCGAGAATGATTTAACCCGATGATGGATACAAGGAGAGAGCCTAATACGAGGACCAGCTGTTTGGATCCACTGATCTGGAACGATCAGCTGATTTTAACAGAATTCCCGGATGTCTACAACATATTTTTTTCTCCATTCACCTTTTTTTATTTTTTATTTAGATCAGAGATTCTCTAGCATGGGTCAAATGCCATGATCCAGTTCTTAGAATTCTCGTTATTGATATATTGATTGACTAGAGATTTTTAAAATGTGATTATTAGAGGGAAATACTACGAACACTCAATGAATAAAGTCAGTTATCACATTTCACAAGGTTATCTTGTAACGGTGAATCAAATAAAATACGAAACAAAATTATCCTTTGTTTACGTTTTCCCTTATTCGTGAGTTTATAAGACACATGAATTGAGACAAAATAGACATCAGTAGTAACTAAAGCAACAAAGAGTAAGCCATACTCACACGCACACACACAATACTTATATACATCCATACACATTATGTATATATATATATACATATTCATATATATCTATATATACATATATATATATATGAATATATATATATATGAATATATATGCATATATATTCATATGTATATACATATATATTCATATATATATACTTATATATATATTCATATATATATACTTATATATATATTCATATATATACATATATATTCATATATATATACATATATATTCATATATATATACATATATATTCATATATATATACATATATATTCATATATATATACATATATATTCATATATATATACATATATATTCATATACATATACATATATATTCATATATATATACATATAAATTCATATATATATACATATATATTCATATATATATACATATATATATATATATTCATATATATATTCATATATATATATTCATATATATATATATATATATATATATATATATATATATATATATATATACATATATATATAACAATCCTCCCTGACCTGGACTCGAACCTAGGTCACTCCGGGTATGAGACCGGA